CTCCTCCTCCTTCTCCTCCTCTTCTCCTCCTCCTCCTTTTTGCCATGAACCAAAATAGTTTTTCTAGGTTTGCTGGGACCTCATCTGGGAAGTGACCTGGTAGTGTTTCCAGATGGTACACAGTGCAGTGCTGCACACTCAGCACACACAAGTTCTAGTGTCACCTGCTAAACACTGCACACACACTTGCCCTTCACATTCAGCAACAAGACAACACGATCATTCCTACTCCTGGACTCAGTAGTGGAATCCTGAGGTTTTGTGTGCCTTACTGGACATTTGGGCCGAATTCTTCCTTAGGAAGGTCACCAACACAGACTGTGCTGTGCCAGTCTCCTGGGCATCTACTCCTCATTTCACACATCTTTTTCTGCAATGATGCTTAGCTGGTCTGTGGTCTGATTTGTTGAGTACTTCAAAGGATGCAAATTTTGGGGAACTGATGACCCATCCCTAGGTAACTGGAAACTGACTGTCTTTGTCTTCTCCCTACATGGAACAAATTAAGAGAGAGAGAGAGAAAAAAAAGACATTTTAGTGAAACTTAATACGTAACATTTTCTGTTTTTCCAGTCATTGAATACTGCCTGCAGTGTTAAAAGTTCATTTCAATGTATCATAATACTTATTTTCTTAGTTGCTTAATAATAACGTGAGAATATATATTGGAACTGGCTTTTTAATTAAGCCCTGTGTATAATGCTGACAAAAACGTAAAGTCATGTTGAATATCATGCTGTTTTAGGCAGAGTCTCACAGTTCTGTGGTTTAATTATGCCAGACATATCCAACTGTGGAAGCACATATTAACTACAGATCAATCTACTTCTTTTGACTCTGAGATCACAGAATGTCCATTGTGTGTTAACCACAAAAGGGACAAGGGAAAAGAGCAACAGCTGGTGTCATTTGAGGGACAGGATCCCTCCATTTAGCTCCCTTCTCCTTTTACCTCCCCCCCACCCAGTTTTATGTAGGTTTCTGACCTTCCCCAGGAGAAATTTCTCTAAAGACTCAGTCTAAAGAGCAGTGTTTGAAAGGATTGCCTTGTCTTCACTGTTGTTTGCTTTTGTGGTGGTTAAGGGTGGAGTTTCACAGAATGGCATTTCAGGGCCTGCATCTCAGAACACATCTGCACCTTCCCTTGGGAAGAAGGTGGACCAGGGCTTCCATGGGCTAGGATCGATAAAATAGTAACCACCGCTGCCAGTTCATGACCTGCACACTCAACTATTTCCCTGTGCTCCACAAACACTGTGAGGTAACTGCTGTAATGACTCCCATTGCACCAAAGAATAGACTGTGGCAAATGACACATTAATAACTCTTTCCAAGAACACACTATTCGAAAGTGACGAAGCTAGGATTTTAGCCATCTCATTCCAAAGGCTGCCCTTCCTAACCACACCAATGTGGAAAAGTACAGATTATTTTTATTAGGATAGGTCTGTTTTTTCAAATCAATAAATTTAAGTAAAAATTATTACATTTATTTATTGTATATATTTGTGTCTGTGTGTACATATATATGCATTTGTATGCCATGGGACACATGTGGAGGCCAGAGGACAACTTGGGACTCTGTGTTCTCCTTCAACCTTGGGGGTTCTGAGGATGGAACTCAGATCATTGAATTTGGCAATAAGTGCCTATGAGATTAGTCAATGGCCCTCCAACCAGTAAATTCAATAAAACAACATCTTTATTTTTGCTTTTCATTGTCTACCTGGACCCAATTCCTTAATTTTATTAACAACCTGAAATTACTTATCCTTTAAACATAGAAAGAAAAGATTGAGTTTCCATATCAAAGTAAAATTAAAATTTCCAACTTTCATTTTGGAAAGCTTGGGTTCTTAGGCACGTTGATTGAAGCATTGTTCTGAAGAAGGATTACTTTCATGGTATAATAATGGAAAATATCACAAGCAAATTAGGCTTAATGTCTGATATTAAAAATCCAGCTACAAAAAAGTTGGTCCTCAATTTATCTTTGTAAAACCCTGAAAGTTGCAAGAAAGGAAGTGAACTTTCCAAATCAGAAGGATGATGACCTTCCATTTTACCAGTTAATTCCTGAGTATGTAAGAGATAGAGTTAAAAGAACTATAATAAAATATATTAATTCTTATTAAGTGATTGTCTGTCACTAGAAGATTTTTGTGCCATTCCAGATGTTGTTTTTAAGCCAACCCCACACTTCTTTTAATACAACCCCACACTCAATAGTTCAGATTTAACTAACTTGTAATTCAAACTGGTTTCTGTTCTCCAGAGTTTATTAGCTGGCAGCTTGGAAGCTGGAAACCGTTTTGGTTCAGAAAGACAATACTTTGTAAACATTGGCTGGCTCCCCAAACTGTTATAACAAATTGAAATGGGAAAGCTAATAGTACTGTAATGCTCAGCACCATGGATCCTCTTAAGTTCAAAAATTAAATATTCTAACAGTCATTATATAATTTCAAAATATATAGATACAAGATAGCCATCAAAATCTAGAGAGTAGTCATTCATTCAGCTAGTAAGGTAATCAACAGTTTTCCTTCTGTATACGCCAAAGTATAAAATATACTTTGTACAGTACAGGCATATTTTACTTAAAAATTTTTGCAAGTATATTTTATAATGGTCAAGTTATATGCTTTTACCTTTTATTATTTTTTTTGCAATGAATAATAATCAACTAGTTTTGTAAAAGCACCGAATGTTATATATGCATACATACATATATACATACATATGTGTGTGTATTTGCATATACTACATATGTGTATATGGTATAAGTTAATTTGCATTATTAAAAGAAAATAGCCCATCTCTATCTATCTTTCTTTCCTCCTCTTCTCTGAAGATACATGGTCGCAGGAACTCAACTGTTTAATGTGTACCTCCTGTTTCCATATCCCATGTCTGACTTGTTAACAGACTTATCTGTCTCCAACTGTGAGATGCATCTAGAAACCCTATCTACAGTGACTTTATAGTCTGAAGTCTGCTCTTCTTATTTTGCTATTCTCGTCAGCCTTTTCACAATAGAGCTTTCTACATAATCTGTTAAAAAAAAAGGATCAGATTAAGCAAGAGAGTACTTGGCCATGCTAAGCTTCTTCCTTGAGCTTGCTCATCCTGTTACCTCTTCCTGAAACACAGCAGTTTTGATCCCCCTAACTGGGACTTTTGCATCCAGCTATTCTCAACACCTGGGGAGTTCTCCTCTCAGATACTTTGGGCTCATTCCCTTTCTCCCTTCCCTGGTTTTGGCTACAGTACCAAGCGTTTTAGCAATGGTCACTCTTACAACCCTTCACTTCCTTTTATTGTCTTATTTCCCTCTGTAGTTGCTAACATAATATATAGTTTATGCATTTTTGTTCATCAATTATGTTTTCTGAAGAAACACACTCCAAAAGGGATTTTTGACAGTTGTTCCCTACTGTGTAGCAGGGCCCAAAATCCTGTCCAGAAGGTGATATACCTCAGGGCACATTCGTTGAATGGTGGATAGGAGTGTAGCAAAAGTAGAGAACCATAGACAGAAAGGATCAAAACCGAACTCATGATGACATTTACCCCTAGGGAGGATGGAGGGCAGACACAAAAGACCTTCCCCTTACTAAACTCTCATTGATGAATTCACTGGTGTTTGTAATCACTGAGGACCTGTGTCTTTAAAATTTTCAAGACATTTCTCAAAACCAGATTTTCAATAATTAAGGGGGCAAGGTAGTAAGTATTGCATAGCTTCTCCCCAGAGTCCTCCATGATGTATTCCGTTGGCTGTCCACCTTCATTTTTTCCAACTCCTACAGTTTTTCCCTAAGTTGTGCTATCTCCAAGTTTATGCCTTTTATTGTTCTATGGGGTCTAACTTTTCCACTTTTCTTTGTCTGACTAAATCCAACCATCTTTATGACTCAGGGTAACTTTCTGTTCTCTAGTGGAACTTTGTACAGGCGACACACCATTTTCATTCTGTCTTTTGAAATTGAAGTGCCTTGGCCTCTGCATCCCACACCCAGTGGGAAGTCTGCACTCTTTCCAATACTTAGAAGAATTCGTGCAGGCGTGTGGTTATTTCTTGATTTGATTTCCTGCCACCACTAAATGCTGTGACTCATGTATTCTTTCAGCAATACTGCACCCCCCTCACTGTGATAAGCCAGTCACGAAACCCATACTCCCTTTTCTTTATTTTTCTACTTGACTCATGCAAGACAGATGTGTAGAGACATGGCCAGAGTCAGAGCTTTACTGGGGGCAGGACGGAAGAGCTGGGGGAAGTCATACTCCTGAGTGGTAGACTTTATAGTAGACACTCTTGCTCTGGAGGGGCCCTTGACTCTACCCATGCAGTGACTGCTAGCTGTATTTCATCCTCAAGACCCCAAGCTTCTCGGTCAGTTGTTTCAACTTCCTCTACTTCTTAGGCTTCTCCCAACTCCTACTATTTACTTTTTGTAGCTAAAACCCAAATAAGTGACAGAAACAACTTAAGGGAGCAAGATATATTTTGATTCACAGTTATTAGAGGGTTTAAGTCCATAGGTTCTTGTCAAGTGTTGGTGGGCAGAACATCTTTACCGTCAGGTTCAAAGAAAAGTTTCACTTCCCCAAATTCCAGCACCTATTTCCCTCTCCCAAAGATGCCATTTCCTTACACTATCTGTGGTGCCAATTAGCATAGCGAAGCACATGCTGACCTCTAGGCTTCCTCAGTCCCACAAGTACCTGTGGTTCTTCTCAGTTCTTACCTTGCCCCTGCTCTAGATTTTTCTAACTTAGAGTCTCCCCTCCTCCAGCATCTCATTCCCTTATACTATATCAGCTGTACACCCTCTTTTTTGTCTTCTTGTCTTGGTCCCCTCTCTCTTGCCCCTCTCTTTTTGTCACCCTTTGTCTTTCTCTCCCACTCTCCCCATCCTCCCTTACGGCCCAGTCCAGTCTGCTGGCCATGTTCAATCTAATAGTTTCTCCCCCTGCTCTGGACTCAGGCAGACACCTCTGGCTGTATCTTCCCTCATATCTACAATAAAAACCTTTTCGGCAACCATACCTTGGAGTGGTGATGCCCTCAGTTTATACATTTACATGGGTAGGACATCTTGGTGGCAGGGGTGTATGACAAGGGACAGCTGTTCACGTCCCAGCAAGTAGACCAAAGAGAACTTACAGGAAGAGACGAGGAACTGACCCCAGTGATTCACTTCCTCCAGCTAGGTTCCATCTTTTAGTTTCCACAGCCTTCCTAAATAGTGCCACAATCTGGGATACCAAGTGTACAACATATAGGACTGTGGGGGACACTTTATAAAAAGTCAGGACATTCTTTAAATACCAACTTGTGTGTTTTGGGGCACTTTTGCTTTGGCTCTTGGAGCTTTGGGACTATGCCTAAACAGTTTATTCTTTTAATCTTCTCCCAAATCCCTTGAAGACGTTTGCCTTCATGAGGAACTTTCTCTTTCTGAAAAGAATTGTGTGTTTAGCTCCTAAAGTAGCTTTTCTTCACCCTGAGACATACTATACTATTGAGTGGTCAGTTTGCCTGTGTGTCCTCTTCATCATCTAATGGCCTATTGTGCAACGTCTTGTGTTAGTACTTGGTTCAGAGTATGATTAATGCTTGAGGAAGAAATAAAGACTAAGTTTTCTGCTCATTACAGACATCTGTTGGAAGGTGCCATTTGACCTCATTAAAAGTTGTTCTTTTAATTCCCCAGATGGGCATCAATGAGATGGAAATTATTTGTTCCCTGGTTTTGTTACCTCCAGTGATTACATCCTGACTTGTTTAGAAGGATGCTTGATGATCCCTCAGTCGGTGCCTGTAAATTAACCAGAGGCACAGTGAGCATTACCTGCAAACAAAACTGTGATCAGAAGATGCTCTCTGGCTAGAGCTATTGCTGTTGTAACCATTTGCAGTCAATGTCTTTTCTTCATTGTCTTGATTTCTAGTTGCAGAATGTGCCGATGATGTTCCAGTGATGTTTGGAAGTCTGTTTCTAGCTTTCCAGGGGTCACTTGCTGCACATGAGTGAGCTGATGGAGAAATGGAGTAGCGTCTAACAATCATGACATTGCCTGTACAGGAAGCACAAAATTCAAGTTGAAAAATACTCTACCCTTAACCAGACTTAGAGATGAAAAATTATGTTGATCATACTTGGTTGATGTTGAAAAAAGATACCTATTTGCTGATTTGTGTTACAAGTATTAGCTGATCATAGCCACATGCTGGACACTTTTTCAAGAGAGGAGGTAGTGGACATCATGAAAATGTTGCGTGCATAGAGCTTACGGTGTGTGGCTTATGTAGAAAACACACCATAAGCAAGCAACACATGATGTAATTCAGATGATGACAGATTCCAGGAAGACAAAACTGATGAAAGCAAGGGATAGAGACATATGGAAGAGGAGATGAGGTCATTTGACTGTGTGGTCAGAGAAAACGCTTCAGGAACATAGAATTAGTTCATAATAGATTATTGTAGAATTTTATGGTTAACTAGAACACTGTGAGGAGCCCAAATGCTTCAAACATGCAGTAATAATGAATATCCAGAAATGGTAATTGTCCTAACTTGATCAGTGTACATAATATATATATATATATATACACACATATATATATATAGATATATCATGCTATACCCCATAAACATGTACAATTATTATGTGTTAATAAAACTGAAAATGTGTTTCATGAGATATAAATACTAATTATACTGACAATATTAAGCATCATGTCTGTAAAATTGTATAAAATTCATCATGGTTTACTTCATAAATATATACTGTTAAATAGTAAGTAGAATTTTAAATATAAAATGAGCCGGGCGGTGGTGGCGCACGCCTTTAATCCCAGCACTCGGGAGGCAGAGCCAGGCGGATCGCTGTGAGTTCAAGGCCAGCCTGGGCTACCAAGTGAGCTCCAGGAAAGGCGCAAAACTACGCAGAGAAACCCTGTCTCGAAAAACCAAAAAAAAAATAAATAAATAAATAAAAAAAAAAATAAAATGAACAGAGGCTCAGATACAAACAAATTATAAAACAAGTCCTTAAAATAGGGATATCGTGGAACTTCTAGAGATAGAAATTCTTGAAGGTCTCCTCACCCTAGACTCCAGAAAAATGGGTTCATTCACTGTTGTTGGTCACCTGGATGGCCACAGTAATTCAGCTGGTGGTTCCTAACTGGCCTGTGGTTGCATGACTTGGCTTTATTTGGTCAACAGGAGACAGCTCACTGAGATATAAGAACAAGACAACATGGAAGCAAGCAGAAGTGCTTTATATGGGCAACTGAGTGTTTCTTCCTGATGGCAAATAGATGGCTTTAGTTCCTGAGGACTTGCAGTTCAATTTCTGTCCTGTTTTCCAATACATTACTTCCCTTGAAGTAAACAAAATCTTTTTTTTTTTTTGAAACTGAGAACTGTGGTTCAAAGAACTTTATTTTATGGAGTCGTCTTGATTTCTTTGAGTCCCTCTTAACTCGGTGACTTGAGGCTGGTCATTTGACTTCTGCTTGGATATCAGTTGTCACCTAAGCATTTACCTCATGTGTTGATTTTCATTTTTCAAGGCACTTTCTGCTATGTTGCTTGTTATGACTTTGTTATTAGCTAGCCCAGAAATGTAAAAACATAAAAGCTATGCAATGGGTTTATGTTTTGAGAATGCCAGAACCACAATTACTGATTTAAATTTGCCACGTGCCATTGCAGGAAGAAGACAGAGTTATGACATTGCAAAAAAGTGGAGGCTGACCTGGCCTTGCATAGTTTACAAGATGAGAAGATGCATTTTTAGGTAAGAGTTTAAGGCAGATATGTGCAAATTTATCTGACATGATTAACTATAAATGCTGTTCATAAATTGTCTTTAAGTTCTTCCAAGAGCTGTTGTGAATACCATATGTAATTGTGTCACAACCAGTTTTTGAAACAGAAACATAAAAGTTTCTGTTCAAAAGAATTAGAAAACTATCTATCCATCCCAAGTCCTAGGGAACCACAGGGGAAATTATGCTGATGATAGCAAAATTGAATTTATTTTTATTTGAGACCTACACTTAATATGGGATCGATTACCAAATAAGCTATTTGCTCATCTCCTCGGTCACAAATTATCCTTTTTTTTTTTTTTCCTTTTCAACACAAGGGAAGAAATATTCAACACAGCATCACAGGATCATTAGTCCAATTTCAAAGCTCACTGCCAAATGCAGTTTACTTGCCAGTAAAGGATATGAGTAGATTGAAAAGAATTAGGACCCTGCAGTGCTGGGAGTTCCCTGAGATTTTTCTTTCATCCTCCTCATTGTAAATTATAACACTCATAGTAGCCACGATGTGAGGCTGCACAGAGCAGAAAGGACAAGGAGGCATTCTCAAAAGTGCTGGTTAGATTTTTATATCCACCGGGCAGTGGTGGTGGTGCACGCCTTGAATTCCAGCACTTGGGAGACAGAGCCAGGCGGATCTCTATGAGTTCAAGGTTAGCCTGGTCTACAGAGCGAGTTCCAGGACAGGCTCCAAAGCTACACAGAGAAACCCTATCTTGAAAAAAAAAAACATAAAAAAAAGATTTTTGTATCCATCAAAACCCATGCAATGCAGATGTTTCTGCAAACATGTTTTATTCAAGGAGAATTCATTCTGAGTAGGCACTCTGTAGACTCATTATGTGATATACATTGTTTATCAGCCAACAAGTATACCCCCGAGTTGTAGCTCAGTTCTTGACCTCAGGCAACCAAAGAAGAAGCTGACTCTAACTCATAAAAGGTCTCCTTTGTTTTCTATCACTGTATCTATCACACAACATTTGGAAGAACTTGTGGTTCCCAGTGATTTGTTTGCAGGTCCTGTGCGTTGATTCCTGTCTTGAAGAAAGGCATATATTTCTGTTTTATGATATCTAGTTATCAAGGGTAGTTTTGTAAGATTCTGTTTTCAAAGATGTATTGGGGATGTTGCTTTCTTAAATGTTTTGCGTTTTATAGTCTTATCTGTTAAAATAAAGGGATTTTTATGGGATGAACTCCAAGATTCCTTTGTAATACATTTCTAGGGTCCAGTTGCAAGTTTGAATTTCAAATGATGTTGGCAATGTATCATGAAAACCTCCAATAAAAACTTGTATGCAAGTCAAGTAGTAATATTTTCTTGGCATAGCTACTGTTTTTCTGATGGCCATCACTGAAAAATTCACGTTGATCTTGGTTGTATTGTTTTATTTAATCCTTTCAGAGCCTATGAGATAAGGTCTGTCACTCTCCTTATAGTACAGGTGAGTCGAATATACGTTAGCACATTCATAGAAACAAGAATTTTACTGTTGGAAGAGGCCTTGGAAGATATCTGGTGTAACTGACTTTTTCCACAATTTGTGGTATGTGTGTGTGTGTGTGTGTTTGTGTATATGTGTGTGTGTGTGTGTGTGTGTGTGTGTGTGTGCATGTATGTGCACATGTGTGGCTGTATGTGTATGTATATGTACATGTGTATGTGTATATGTACGTGTGTGTGTGTGTGTACATATGGAGGCCAAAGAATGATCTTGGGTATTGTTCCTCAGATGCTGTCCATCTGTTTCTCTCCCCTCCCTCCCTATCTTCCTTCCTGCCTCCCTCCCTCTCTCTCTCTCTTTCTTTCTGACAGGCTAGAACTCACCAGGTGAGCTAGGCTTGCTGGGCAACGAGCCCCACAGACCTGCCACAGTCTCTCCAGTGCTGGTTTTACAATGCACTCCACCACACGAGACTTTTTTTTACATAGATTCCAGGGCTTGAACTCTGGTCGTCTGGCTTACAAGGCAAGCACTTTACAACTGAACTGTCTCTCAAGTCTCAATACTTTAAAAAAAAAAAATCGTGTACTCAGTGTTCAAAATAATGAGTTTCGCCGGGCGGTGGTGGTGCACGCCTTTAATCCCAGCACTCGGGAGGCAGAGCCAGGCGGATCTCTGTGAGTTCGAGGCCAGCCTGGGCTACCAAGTGAGCTC